TCGCTCTCCCGAGATAAAGGGAGAGCTTTTGGGACTCTACTCCTATCCAGGAGTACTCACCTCGACCCCTTCTCCCGGGGCACAAGGTTCCAAGCCGCTGAACAGCTGCTGACCGCTGTTCATGCTGGCTCTGACGCCTTCCCAAGCGGACGGCTCCGAAAAGAGCCGCCATCGGCGCGCCGTCCCACCGGAAGTCCGTGGAAGACTATTCCATGGTCATAAGTATATGCCGAGGTGCACAGAATGCTGTTACCTTCCCACTGAAGTGATGCCTATTTATCTACATGCATTTGCTTGCTTTCAAACTGCTAGATGGGTAGGAGCTGTGGCAAGGACGGGAGCTGACCCTGTCACACTGTCCTTTGGTCTCAGACTGCAAAGCTTCCAGTAAATTTTATACACAAGCTAAAGAGTAAATGCAAAAAGGCATCAATTATTAGAATTGATATACAATATTTTAAAAATACTTGCCCATTGATTTTATTGACACTATGAGTAATGACTTCAAGGGACTACATGTTATTAATTTTAAGCTTGTGTTTTGATATTTTGCAGGGGTATTACAAAGTCCTGGGCAAAGGAAAGCTGCCCAAGCAGCCTGTCATTGTGAAAGCAAAATTCTTCAGCCGAAGAGCCGAAGAAAAAATAAAGGAAGTTGGAGGAGCCTGTGTCCTAGTGGCATAAATGTTGATATATGTATGCAGACTAAATGACAGGCATGAATAAACTATTTCAGATGTTGGAGTGACTTTTCATCAGAATATTCTCGCAATTACATTCAATATTAGAAAGTTGATTTCTGAGAGGAATTGTAGAACTGGAAAATAACATTTAGGCCACCAATCCAATTTCCAGGTTTGAGTTCCTCTCATTCAGGAATTAGGAAATCATCTCCTCCCCAGTTAGTTGATTCCACTATCAGTTAGTTGATTCCACTATCAAAATTATGTTTATAGTAGTTTTTTTTCCAGTGCTTAAAAGTTTTTTTCAGTGCTTAAAGCAGAATGTTCCATTTTCCTTGTTCCTTATCTTGCATTGTGGGATAATAGAAAATTGCCCAGCCACATGTATGATATTGTCCCTTGTACTTGAATGTTGTATTTGCATCACAACAATCTTAATAAAAATAGACAATTCCCACAGTCTTATAACAGTGGGAATAATACTCTCTATTATCCTTTGCTATTTTATTCTGAATTGTGGCACTGAGGGACATCCCAACTTATCTTAAATCCTACGCTGACAGTGCTGGGTAGGATTAAATCTATCCCAGAGGAAAAAGAAGCTGAAAAATAAGTATTATGAATGCAAAATTACAGCCAAGGCACGTCAAATGTCTTGACAATGGTCCAGCTGTAGCCACCGCTGCCTGCCTAGTTAATGGGGAGGAGCCTAGTGATGTATTCAAGAAGGAACTCTCCACTCGGAGTGGGCAGACATTTTCTTTCCAGGTGCTGCCTGGGAAAGAGGGTTAAAATGACACTACCTTCCTTAATTGGAGAGTTTGTCCCATAAAATGGAACAAAGCAAGAAAGGAGTCAAGCCCAGGAGATGACAGAGAAGTGGGAAAGAATACAAAGGCAACATCTCAGCAGCAGTCTTTCTACAGCAAAAGAAAAGTGCAAGACTAGCTGAAGGAGTTTTGGGAAGAGCAAGAGTCTCACCAGCCTGCAAGCCCAGTGTGCAACGGTTCAGAGGCAGAATTCATAAATCTGTTCCACAAACAGATCGGGGAGGGAGAAAAAAATTATTCACAAGTCCAGAAGAGCAAAAAATCATTTTCACATTCGAACGGACTGGGATTGGCTATTGCAAGAACTGAAGACTTGGAAATAGGAAGAAAAGGAAAAACCGAAAGAGTTAAGATAGGACTGATACAGAACGTAAATGGTTGTAAATTTATAGTAACAGGAAGACTAGATAAAGACAAGAAAATAGAAACAATTACTGTTGAAAGGAACAGGAATTTGTTATAACAAAAGTTTTGTGAGAAAATTCAAATGTACTGATTAAGAAAAAACAAACCCTAACACAGACTGTAATGATGTGTGGGACATTGGCACTTTGTGGCCAAAGGAGTTGCATACTATTTAAAAAAATATGA